AGTCCCTGGTGACCACTGATCTACGCTGTAGTATTTCCACGGAATTATCTGTTCTGGACAATTCATAGAAATGAAATCATACAGTACATGGTCATTTCTGTCTGGCTCTATTCACCTTGACATCCGTTTTCCCAGTTCAGCCTGTGTCACTATTTGTTACTGAATGGTATTCCGTTGTGTGGATGGACCACAGCGCATTCCTCCGTTCCTCAGTCACGGAGGTTCGGTTCCTTCCACTTTTTGACCACGTGAATAACGCTGCTAGGAACATTCGGACACAGTTTCGGAGCAGACACATGTTTCCAAATCATATATGCCTACGAGTGGAATTGCTGGGCATGTGATAATCTGTTTAGCTCTTTGAGGCACAGCCAAGCTGTTTCCGGAAGCAGCTGTACCCGCCTACTCTCCCATCCGGCGTGCATCTGACCCACGCTGGGCCTCAGCTCCCTAATGGCCAAGCCTACCACGTGGGTGTACATGCGCATCCACGTGTGCGCGTGCGCGCGCGCGCACACACACACACACACACACACACACACACAAAACTTGAATAGTGGCCAAACTAAATGGAAACACAGAATTATCTCTGCACCTCATCTGCCAAATACATTAGATCTGGAATCAAAGACCACAGTGACTAGCTAAGTGTGGAGCCCAGACTGGCAGCATTATCACCAGCAGAATCGTCTGGAAACTGGCTAAAATGCAAATCCTCAGTCTCTGCCCCTGGCAAAATGGTTCAGGGGCTCTACAGAGGGGTCTCAGCCATCCGTGCTTTAACGAACTTTCCACATGATTCTCAGCGATAATGGCGAACTAGATGTTTAGAATTCGGTAGTCCTGGATTCAAATTCCAGCCTGTTTTTTCTTTCTTTTTTTTTTTTTTTTGCGGAACCAGGGATTGAATTTAGGCCCTTGCGCTTGCCAGGGAAGCGCTTATTCCACTGAGCCATCCCCCCGCCCCCCCCCCAAAAAAAAAATCCAGCCTGTCTCTTAACAGCTGCATGACCTTGGCCAGTGCTTTAGCCTTCTTCCTTTACCTCACTGTCCTTGTCTGTGAAATGGAACCAGTGTGTACCTCCCTCCCAGCACACCACTGCACCGTGCCGGGGCTGGAGCCCGGGTCTCCCCGTTCCCAGGCTGGTGCTCCCACCCCAGGATGCTGCCGATATCTCTGCACCTTAGGAAGGCTCCAGAGACTTGATGTCCCCAAGGTTGGTGGCCAGAGAAGGGCTTTGTTTCATTCTGTGAGTCCTCTAAAGGAAGAAATGACCAGGGAAAGTTACCAAAAGGGAGGTCAATGTTTTGTTTTTTTTTTTTTTGGTTTTTTGGGTTTTTTTTTTTTTTTTTTTTTTTTTTTTGTAATTTAGGGAAGGATCTAAAGGGTGTTCAGGGTCTCACTACTAAGTCGGACTCATAGTGATCTGCCTGTTTACAGCCTCCCAAGAATTGGGATTACAGGTGCGCCACCACTCCCAATCTAAAATAGGAAATTATTATTATTATTAATTTATTTATTTATTTTTGCGGAACCGGGGATTGAACTCAGGCCCTTGCGCTTCCCAGGGAAGCATTTATTCTGCTGAGCCATCTCCCCGGCCCAATGTTCTTAACCAGGGCTGCTCAAAGATAGAATCATCAGCCCAAGATGCAGTGATATCTGGTCATTAAGAGAATCCGAGCAGCATCTGATGTCCATCTTTCCAGGGTAAAGAGGGAAGGCTTCCTGGAGTGGAAGCTGGCGTGGGCGATCTCTGAGGTGTCCGTCCCCACTGGAGCGGAGCAGTGGTTTTGCCGATTTGTCTCCTTAGCGTCCTCTCTCCAGGGGACGAGCTTCTACCCTGATTGGCCAATGAGAGCAGCTCATCTTCCATGACCACACTGATTGGTTGAGAGAATAGCATGTGACCCAGGCTGACCAATCAGACTCTTTTTCTGCTAGAGCCAGCCATAGTGCTGTCCACCCTTGAAATCCCACTCTGGTGAGCCTGTAGAATTCCTCTTCTTTTGCTTATGACTGGGGTTTCTGTCCTTGCAACTGACAGATACTCCCATTGAACAATACGGGCTTTCCTTGCTTGTATTGGGGCTTGTCCCCCTCCAACATTACATTAAAACAACAGTAAGACAAACAGTAGTTTAAAGGCACTTGAAATCTGTAGTCTCAGGCACATGATGGTGCACACCTATAATCCCAGCACTCTGGAAACCTGAGGCAGGAAAACCACAAATATGAGCCCAGGCTGAGAAATTCAGCAACTTGGCAAGGTCCTGTCTCAAAATTAAAAAATATTTAAAAATTAAATAAATAAATAAAGAGGGTTGATGTTGTAGCTTAGTACAAATGCCCTGGCTTCGGCCCGCTGTCACACACACACACACACACACACACACACACACACACACACTCTCTTAGCCTTTCAGTGGGTGGATGGGGATGTCTAAGGAATTTCAGTTTTGCCACACAGCCAAATGTTTTGAAATCCATTTCTTCCACCTTTCTCTTCATTGCTTCTCACATTCAGGATACCCAGCCCTAAACTTGCTCCTTTCTTCTCCAGAAACTCAAAATTTTCTTCTCAAACCCAGTCCCAGCTGGGACTCTTACTGCCCTCAGAAGGATCCAAGGAAGTCCCCAAAGAGGAGAAGGGGACCAACACTGGGCCCTGGCAGGTTTGTGAATGGAGCAAAGCATTTTGGGAAACATCAGTGAGAGACAGAGGTGGATTTCTTAGATAGAGGTGGATTTCTCAGGCAGTTAGAAAATAAGAGAGAATGCAAGGACACTGCAGCATGAGGAACTGAAGGAAGAAGCAAGTTGTGGAGTCCAGCCCTGCTTTTCAGAGGAAAAAGGTCAGTTGTTATAGCATGGCTGAGCCATACTGGGGTCTGTCTGACCATCGCCTCTGGTCTGGCTTGTCGAGGTGGCTTTGAAGAAGCCAAGGGGGACAATTTGTTCTCTCTCTGTTTGAGGTGAGCCCAGGTTTGTGGCAGGTCTGCTGGAATGTACTATGAGTAGGTTTAGACAATGACTTGAGACTTACACCCGGTGGTAACTGGCAGTCCCTGTAACCTGCTCTCTTGTGTCTTCAGTCTTCAAGGGGGATGCGGTAAATTATGTAAATTTAGGATTAAGGAACCTTGTGTTACCAGTTTTCAGACAGATGCTTCCCAAACGCCTAAACAATTGCTGAGCAAGGACTTGTCCCTGAGTTCCGAGGTAACAAAGGAGACAGAAGCAAAATGGCCTGCTTTTAGTTACATACTGGGTGACTGTGGACCCAAGTGAAGAATTTTTTTTTTTAAATTTAAATTTTATTTATTTTATGTGTGTGTGTGTGTGTGTGTGTGTGTGGCCAGCTCAGTCCACCAGGGGGCAGGGCTGGGTGGCATGTGGTGCTGGGGATTGAACTGTGGTCCTTGTGCTTTGCTAAGCTTGTTCTAAGTAGGTGCTTTAGACCACTGAGCCCTCTCACCAGCCCAAGAATTTTTTTTTTTTTTTTTTTTTTTTTTTTTTTTTTTTAGCAAAAGCAGCTTTTAAATCATTGCCTCAGAAAAAGATACAAATCTCACTTTTAATGAATAACAGGTGACAGGCCCAGGAATGTCCCTTTTCCCCACAGTCATCTCCATCTCATTGTTGTTTGTTCGTCTCCCGCCTTTCCCAGTGGCCTCTGTTATCCCTGCTGAACACTTTCCCAGCCTTGCTGACATTTCCCATTTCTTTCCTCCTTCTTTTTGTGGTGCTGGGATCAAACCCAGGACTTCACCTATGCTAGGCAAGCACTGTAATCCAGAGCCACGCCTCCAGGCCCTTGGTAGGCAAGAGAGAGAAAAGCTGTGAATCCTTCCCAGTAATGTGGTTCTAGTTCCCTTGCTGCATATTATTCTTAACTTTTCAGATCAGTAGAAGATTATAAAATCCCAGCTATGGAAAAAATCATGACCATGAAGTCATCCTTTCAAAGGAGGTACTAAGATGCCTTAGGCATGAGTCATATGCCAACTTTAAATCAGTAAATGTCGAGTAGCTGCTGTGTGCCAGCCAAGAGCCAGGAGCAGGAGGCTTATGGGATTGTGTGTGCCTGAGCCCTGACATCCAGGTTTGCACCTACTATGTGCTAGACCTACTGTGTGCTAAGTCACTGAGGATAGCGTCAGAAGCAACATAAAGTGCACAGCAATTAACCCTGTGAAATTGTGATTAAGTAGCAACAGAGAGACTGTGAGGGTTTGAATGGATGCCCTACAATTCATGTTTTGAGAATTTAATCCTCCCAACAGTGTTGGGAGATGGAATTTAACAGATGAATACCCTGACAGAAAGGACTTGGGAGTGAGCCCTCTGTCTCTCTTCCACGCTTCTCCATGGAAGATAGGGCTCCCCTACCCTCCAGGAGATTTTGGTGTTCCAGGCACCATCTGGGAAGCAGAAAGAGAAGACCCTCACCTACCAGCACCCTGATCTTGGCCTTCCTGGCCTCCAGAACTGTGAGAAGTACATTTCTATTCAAGTGAATTGTCCAGTCAGTGGCATTGTGTTGCAGCAGCACAAAATGGACCTAAACAGAAATGTACATATGTGTTGGGAGCAAATTAAAGTCAGGGGTGAGGAAGTCTCCCTGACGAAGTGACATGAGTTCAGGCATTTAAGACATTTGATGCTAAAATGTCACAACAAGGCCAAGGGGAGGTTGTAGTGGATAGCTGACTGGTGGTCAGCTTCTTACTCCCAGCTGACTTGAACTAGAGTGGAGCTGGGTGTGGGAGGCCCACCTGAGGGTTGGCGCCAGCAGCATAAGAGGCAGAAGGGGAGAAGCTGTTGGAACACGGTCAAGGAGGCTGTTTGGAGAATCTGTTGGAAGCCGTTGGTTCTCCTGGGCTGGTCTGCTGGGTGACCTTGTCATGCTGGCTTTCCTGATGAACTTGGCTCTTCTTGTCGGAGCAGGAGCTCAGGACCTTCATTGTCTCTGAGAATGGCTGTGGCTCATTTGGGAGGAGCTCTGGTCCTCATCTTGAGCATTGCTTCCTGCCTCCTGAGGGGAAGATGGTGCACAGCTCAGCCTCCTGGAGAAGCTTGTCACGTTGGCTTTCATGATGAGGACTCCGCTTTCCTCATCACTGGAGAAGCTCGGGACCTCACTGTTGCTGAGGATGGCTGCGATACCTTTGGGGGCGCTCTGGTCCTTACCTTGAGTGTCGCTTCCTGGCTCCAGTGCAGCTCCCTCAACCTGCTAGCACAGATCCTTCACCCCGCTGGCACAGACTTCCTAGCTTCCACCACTGACTTTTAGGCCTTCCCAGGGCAGATACATGAAGCAGGCCTGCATGAGACTTTGTCATGCGTTCTAGGCCTCCAGTTGGACTTGTGGAAGGCATTGTTGTCAGCTTTAGGTTTTCAGTTGGACTCATGCAAGATATTAGGACCCAGACCCTCAGCCGAATTCTTTGGTCTTTAGTATATGGACAGACTTCCTGCACTTTTTGTATATGATTCTTGGGTAAGTTCTCATAAAATAATATTACAATATGTGTCCCATATTCTATTGTTCCCCTTGCAAAAACCCCAAACCATGACAGGACTATAAGTCTGGGAAGAACATTTCTGGTATAAGGATCCTTGTTTGGAAGGCTAGGGGTGAGGAACAGGGTATGGGAAAGATGGGCACCTCAGGACTTTGTGGCTGGAGCTCTGAGACCCCCAGGGGGCCTCCATGGATGGTAAGAGCTTCGCATCCCAGAAGAGATCTTGAGCCTCACTGGGAATCAGAAAATTTCAACAGGAGCCGCATAGGGTGCTCAAGGCTTAGGACAGGCTTTGTTCTCATTAGAAAAGTTCGCTGCGGTGTTAGACACGGGCTTCTCTGATGGGGTCTCCTTCCATCCAGAGGTGTGCTGGTGGCTATACCCACAATTCATGATGCTGCTAGTGTAACATCATCAAGTTGGGTGACCAGGGGCATTCACACCACCGAGACCCTCAAACACAACCCAGAAGCCTCCACGGCCACCAGCTGTTAACACTAGTCAGTGCCATTGCTTTTGCCTAATATCCCAACCTGAAAAGGATGCTGGCATGCCAGTGCCCGCCGTGCCAACTGGGAGAGTTCAATGACCTTCACGAATCAGGAAGCGATCAAGACTGAAGACATATCTTCTCATGTCCCTGTAACCACACGGAGCCTGAGTAGTAGAAGTCCTTCAGCCACAAGCTTTGCCGATGAAAGACCAAGGCCCTAATGTCAGCTGTTACTATAATTAGGTGAGTGACAGAAACAATTTCGCTGAGTTTCACCTGTTTAAAGGAAATATCAGCAATACCCACTGTGCAGAGCTGTAAGGATTAAGTTCTCTAATGTGTATTCTTCAACATACTGTCGTCATCCCAGCCAGAGGTCACCATGGAGACAGAGGACAAACAAACTTCTGGCTCTAATCCTGTTTTTCATTCAAAGTGTGATTTAGATTTTCTTCTGAGACACTCAGGTACTTTAAGGCATTTTTTTTTTTTCCTTTAAAAAAGGAGACTGTGGTACCAGGGATTCAGTACCCAGTCCTGCACACCACACCAGCCCCACCCCTGGGGTGCACTGAGCCAGCGAACGAGACACACACCTGTAATCCCAGCACTGGGGAGGCTGAAAATAGGAGAATCACTGTGAGTCTGAGCTGCATAGTGAGACCCTGTACCAAATACATAAAAAGAAAAAAGGTGACTGCTCGCTTGGGTCTACAGATGCTGAATAGGTCACTAAAAGCAGAACAGATTTGACCTTTATTTTGTATCTGTCTCCTTTGTTAAATTTTGAGTTAAATCACTTCTCCTCTCTGCTTATGGGTACAGCAGTCCTTCAAAGGTATATCTGAGAATTAGCAAAACAAAGCTGATTAGCCTTAAGTTTACATAAACTATCTCACTCCCCTACTGGGACTGAGCAAATATGAGCTTTACAGACTTTCAGCTAGGCCCAGAAGCCCCCAGGGCCTTAAAGCCACAGTCACTTTGGTTTCCAGCAAAGCCTCACAATACCGAAACCACCCCAAGCAAAGACAGTGACCTCGTGGTGTCTGCTGCCTGTGAGCTTCAGGCAGCAGGGGGGGTGGTTCTCCCCAGGCCTACACAGAAGCAGAACTGAGATACTGATCACCAGACTCTAGCCAACCCCAGCAACTCTGGCCTTGCTCTTTTGTGAGCAGGACAGTCGGACCCTCCACGTCACACCTGTGGTGCCCTTAGTTCCCCAGTGGAAGCCCCTTCCCTGTTTTCTCTTTCCTTTGTGAGGGGGTTGGGTTGACTTTTGTGAGCAGCTACAGCCTTTGTTTTCTCTGACATTCCACTTTAAGCCTGAGTGCCCAGTTTTGATTCCCAGTGTCACTGAAGCAAGGACCCACAATAGCCTGGAACACAGCTCTACTGAGTAACAAGTATGCTGTCAAAGTACTATGGGCTGTTTTCAATAAGGGGACATCAACAGCCATAGATCCTCCCCACAGGGGATTTATTATCGGTATTTGGAAAACCTGAAAGAAACCAAAGTCGTTCACAGAGGATCGAGGTATTGACAGGCCATGGAAACTGGCTGTGATTTTCAAATCTGTATCTACAAAAATCTCTTCTTTAAAAGATCTTGAGAAAGCCAAGAGTAGTGCAAGTTTATGACATCATTTCCACCAAGGAGCTTCGGCTCTTTCAACTGGAATCCCAAGACCACAGGAATAGCTCAGCAGCAGTGACAGCAGTGTCTTCATTTGTCTTTCCATATGCCATGGCTTGGGATCTGGATCTTTTTACCTTTTTGGGGGGTGAGGGGTACTGGGAATTGAACTCAGGGCCTCACGTTTACGAGGCAAGCACCGTGCCACTAAATCCCCAGCCCAGATCTGGCTCTTTTTGACAAAATTCGACATGTTTGTTCTTCCCTGCACCTTTCTCACCCTGGCTCATAATTTTAAGTTAACAAACTGCTACAAGTTTGGGTAAGTTAGATTTCTCAAGACATTTGTGTGTGTGTGTGTGTGTGTGTGTGTGTGTGTGTGTGTGTAATGTTAGGGATTGAGCTCAGGGCCTTTTTTCAAGCTAGCCAGGTACTATATCCCTGAGCTACACATCCAGCCCTTTTCAAATTTTATTTTGATATAGGGTCGCACTAAGCGACACCTCCAAGGCATGGAACCCATAGGAATACAGCCTCTGTGGGCCACTGGGAGAAGCCACCGGTTGAGCTCAAGGCATGATATCAATCTTGAAATTTCCAGAAAATTCCTGAAATTTCTAATGTTTGCTGTCTTAGCCAGAGAACTTTTAGATTCATCAAACGCTGAGAAAACCTTACTTTCTCTCCCAAGAAGTGGCAGGAGCCAAAGCCAAGAGCCAGCATCTGCGACAGGAACATGGGCTACAACTGTCACTGACACCCAAAGGCAGTGTGGTTGGGGAGGCAGGTGGGCCGCGACCAGGTCAGAACCCAGCACCTACCCGCAGCGTAAGGTCTCCAGGCGCTCGGATGGCAGCTTCCATGTCTATAAGGCGGAGACAATAACTCCTTCAAGATCTGTGTAAGGACAAAACAAAACCATGTTTAGTAAGTGACAATTGATAAAAGAAACTTTTTACAGTGCTCTAAATTTAATTGCAAAGGGCCAGCCGAATAGCTCAGCAGATTAAAGGACCTACATGCAGAGGCCAGGGGTTCGATCCCTGGGCCTGCTGTACCAGCCCTGCCCCTGGGGTGCGCTGAGACGGCAATTGAGACTGGGCGTGGTGGTGCGCACCTGTAATCCCAGCTCTTGGGAGGCTGTAAACAGGCAGATCATTACAAGTCCGATGTAGGAGTAAGACCCTGAACACTCTGTAGACCCTTTCCTAAAAAAATACCCCCCAAAAATTTTTTTTTTAAATTTCAGAGTTCTTAAAATAGAGGGGGAAGAGGTAAAGGAAGTTAATCAGATGACCGCTTTGGGAGAAACTAACCAAAGGCCCTTTCAGTTTGAATGTCTGACGGTGACTGTGTCCTCTCCTGACAGACCTTTCTGCACTGTTGAGGGCACAGCACGGAGAGGCAGCGCTTCTCTCAGGCCTCCTGCCCGCGCCGGGGCTTTCCTGCCCTTCTCACCCGCAGGCAGCGTGGGTTCCCTCTAGACAGCTTACACTCTCTCCCCTCAAGTTTTTGTTATAAAACTACTTTTAGCTCCATGTCTAGTGGTCATTTTCCCATCTGCTATCCAGTGAGGAGAACTCATTCCAGGGCGTACTCCTGTCCTGACTAAAACCTGTAAAGATTTATAGTTATAGGGCCAGGGAGATGGCTCAGTAGAATAAGTGCTTGCCTGGCAAGCACAAAGTCCTGAGTTCAATCCCCCTGTACTACAAAAAAAAAAAAAAAAAAAATGTAGTTTTAAATTTCATTTATTTACATATTTTGTGGTACTGGGGATTGAACCCAGAGCCTTCATACTGAGATATCTATTCACTTACTAATTTACTCATTTTTATTTTAAGATAGGGTGTTGCTAAGTGGCTAAACTACCCAGGTTGGGCTAGGACTTTCTTCCTCCTGCCTCAGCCTCCCCGAGTACTGGGATTACAGGTGTGTGCCACCACACCCAGCTTCTGTACCCCTTTCTAAGGTTGGGTGGATGCTGTTTGGTTAAATTTTTTATTTTTATTCATACGTATTTACAATGCATAATGATTATATACACTGTGGGAAGTGGTGCATGTGTGTAACACATCGATTCTTTTCTCCTTTTCCTTTCATCCATTGAATAGATATTCCTTTTCAATCTTTTATCTTTTCTATTTTGCTGGTCTAGAGATTAAGCCCAAGGCCATTTGCAATGAGCTACGTGCTGGGGACTCAGTCCTAAGTCAGCTCCTATGTTTGTTTATGTTTTGGAGGCTGGGTCTCACTAAATTGCCAGGTGAGGCTTGAACTTGCAGTCCTCCTGCCTCAGCTTCCCAGAGTGCTGGGAATACAGGTGTGTACCACCATAGCCTGCAACCTTTCTCTTTTAGAGCTCCTTCAAGCTCGAGAGTTTTGGTTTAACATAACTATGATTAATTTTAGAATAAAAGTGATTTTTTTTCTTATTAATTATTTAAAAACCTGGAACACACACATAATTAGAAAGAAGAAAGTTTGAAAAGAAAATCTATATCACCCAGAGCTATGCCAGGGCTGGGATTATAGGCATGCGCCACTACAACCAGTTTCTACACTTTTTTTTGGTTTGTTTAAATATAGGGTCTACAGGGTCTCACTACATAGATCAGACTCATAGTGATTCTCCTGTATTCAACCTTCCAAACACTGGGATTGCAGGTGGATGCCACCAGGCCCAGTCTCAATAGCCGGGGATCGAACCCCAGCCACAGCACTCTGCCTAAGCAGGTGCGTTAGTGCTCTGAGCTCTCCGGCTGGCCCTCTACACTTTGTTACTGGGCCTGTATTTCAGTACTCGTGTTTCTCATTGTACCACAAACTCTTCCATACAGTTAAAAACAGAAATTACAGGAGGCTATTGTATTGGACTAAATGCCTGCAAGGGGCCCAGATAAATGAGACTAAAATGCAGAATAGAGTCACTCAGGCTGAAGCTCAGTCACCAAACAGAAACTAAACTGTGTGTTTGGTCTTCTGAGAAATCAGGAGATGCAGAAGGCTGGCAGATTTTCTAAACCATCTAGTTTTAGTTGGCATGGTGAAGAAGTTCCGCCCCCTTGAGCTCTGTGCGGGCGCGCGCGCGCACACACACACGCACACGCACACACACACACCCCCAAGGGCAACCTGAGGTCACCTGATGTTAAACAATTTCTCCCACACCCCCACCAGTAAGCAAAGCAACTGACATGTTGAATATGTTTTTGTTCTTTGCTTCCACTTTCTTTAGCCCTTCTTTGTCTATAAAACTGACCTCTCTACGGGAGATATAGCTCAATGGAACAAGCCTTTGCCTGGCAAGGTCCTGAGTTCAAGTCCCAAAAGTGCAAAAAAAAGAAAAAGAAAACTGACTTCTGCTCCGCTCCTTAGAACGCATTCTCCTGTTGTGTGGAAGAAATTCTAGCATGGAAGCAGGATCTTTAACTGCAGCCCGACCACTGGACCACTGGGTTCCTACTGGGGATTAAGGCAGAAGACACTTTTTTTTTTCTTTTTTGCGGAACCAGGGATTGAACTCAGGCCCTTGCGCTTGCCAGGGAAGTGCTTATTCCACTGAGCCATCTCCACACTTTTAAAGCGCCCACCTCGGTAATCCTATGACGTGGATCCCACCTGTGGCATCCAAGACGTGGCACCGTGGCCTTGGGCTCTGCTAAGTGGGAGCCCCTAATAATGTGGTCATTAGTGATAAACAGCTTTCCTCTCCTCCTCGCTCCCCGACAAGTTTACAGATGCAACTCTACACCCCCACTCCCGCGGAGCAGTGGGACCCGACGCCGGAGCGCAGCGCAGCCGTAGCCTGGCGCCGCGCCTTCTCCCGCGGGGCTGCCTCCGCCTAATCCCGGCAGCTCGGGGGCGGTGCTGGCTCCGCCCCATCGGCACCGCCCGGTTACCTGCCGGGCTGCCGGGACTTGTGCCCAGCCCTGGAAGCCCCGGGACAGTAATGTCTGGGCCCGGCCGGTGGGCCCCCCTGCTGCTCTGCCTGCTGCAGGCCGCTCCAGGTAAGGGTGCGGGGCCAAGGGGCGCGCGATCGAGGCCGGCGCGGACGCGGGGTGGGGACCCGCGGGCCCTGCCTACCATTCCGGGTTAGCTCGCTACGGAGTAAACGATCCTGAGTCTGAAAATCTTATTGGGAAGGAAGCACAGCCAGCCAAGTCCAGTTTGGGTTCGGGAGAGCTGGGGAAAGAGACAAAAGAGTTGAATAGTATTACTGGTTCGAGTACTTCTCAATCGCCTTCTACCGTCGCGACATCGGCGACAAGTTTGACTCAGACTAGTAAGGGAAAGAGGACAGAAGCGCCCTGCCGCTTTCCGCACAGGCCTGGGGACAGAGTCCCTGCTGGGACTTTTAACCAAGTTTATCAGCAGATTGCAAAATACCTCTGGTTAGGACCCAGCCACCAAACTCCCAACTTACCTGGAAGAGCCAGGCCCCCAACTAGTCCCCCACCCCCACCTTCCTCATGTTAGACCTGCAGTTAGAAGCTAGGTCCTCGGACTAATCCCAAAAAATCATAACAACTAACTTATTTTTTTTTTTTTTTTGAGCAACTTCTTTTTGCCGGGCACCACATTGTCCTTTTTAAGCTTAGAAATCCAGCTGTCCTCTAAGGTGGATAGTCTGCTTTTTCAAGTGAGGAAACAAGAGGCTTGCAACAGTTAAGAAAGAGACTTACACCAGAACAGCGAAACACACCGAAGTGGGAGGTCTGAGGCTGCCGCTGGGCCAGCCTGTGCCTCAGGTGGGCAAGGGAGGGTGCGGTCCGTCCATGGGTAGATGCCAGTGCCCCATTTCTTTGCCTGGCACCTAATGACGGACCTCCCCAAAGGCAGATTATTTGACCTTTGTCTCTGAGCCCAAGGACCATTCTATAAAGGGGAATGATTGCCACCTATTAGTCTTCTTTGTCCCAAAGTTTGAATTTGGTTTTGCATATCAAAGGCCAAAGGGCTAGGGAGACTTTGAAAGCTTGTAGTGTGGCCACTCTGGCTGCAGTGTTTAAGGTGGCCAAGCTCAAATTTCAAGCCACCCTGCCCATGGGATCCCTTCCTGGTGGCTGTGGCTACTTGCTGGACAGCCCAGGAACCCAGAGTTACCGTCACAGGGATCCAGCTCCTGCCAGAGGGCCCAGGATGGGTGGACGCAGGACCTACATTTGAGTCTTAGATCTCAAGGAGACGGCCCAGGCTGGCAAGCTGAGCTGAGAGCCAACGCTAGACCTAGGCCTGCCTTCCCTGGTGCCATTTCCAGAAGGCGTGTGGACCTCCATCCCGGCCCAGTGGCAACTCAGGGCTCAGACTTCTTCCAGACCACGAGCTTGTCCACAGGGCTGCTCCCTTCAGAAACCCTGGCACGCAGAGGTCAGCGGTGCTGGTTAAGGCCACACAGGCTCCATGAGAACCTAGAAGAGGAAGCAGGGTCAAGAACTCAGACTTTGGAGTTGGCCGGGCCTGGATCTGAATCCTGGCTCTTCTACTCATTGACTAAGAGCACCTCTGTCTTCCCACCTGTGATGCTCGTAATTCTTAGCCACCTCCTATGGTGTGGTGTTAAAGAGAAAATTCAGTTAAAGTGTTGGGCACAGCCTGGCTCATGACTAGAACAAAATATATATTAGCTACCATTGCTATTTTCTTTCTTTTACTTATTTGATACAGAGCCTCACACAGCTGAGACTCATAGTGATCCTTCTAACTCAGCCTCCCCAGCCCTGGGATTACAGATGTGCACCACTATGCCCAGTTCCGGGGCTGGCACAGCAGGTGGTACCGAGGCTCAAACCTGGGTCCTTGCGCTTGCCGGGCAGGCACTTAGACTGCAGAGCTATCTCCCCAGCCCTCCCATTGTTCTCTTCATTGTCGTGATCGCCACCACCACCCTTTAGAGCTGTCACAGAAGACTCTGGAGGCAGTGATACTGAATCAAGTCTTTCAAAGTGCAGAGTCCAGGGACATCAGAAGAGGGAAGTGGCTTGAGAACAGCAGAAAGGAAGGTTGGCTGCAGCCTGTAAGCCTGTGGGGGAGACGGGGCCTGCTGCCTGGGCCAGGCCCCACGAACCTCGATAAAGAATGTGGACTTGGAGTCCAGGCATGATGGCGCACACCTGTAATCCTAGCGCTGGGGAGGCTGAAAACAGGAGGATCGCTGTGAGTCTGGGCTGCGTGGTGAGACCCTGTACCAAATACATGAAAGCAAAGAAGTGTGGCCTTCATTCCCAGTAGGGCAAAGGCCTACAAAGGACTGCGTCATGCTGTAATTGCAGCGTATTCGGAGATGAAGGTTAGCAGTGTGAGGACGGAGTGTCCAGGAGGGAAGGAGAAACCAGTGAAAGGTGGACAGGGAACATGTCCCCGAGACAGTGACCTCAAGAGTATGACCAAAGCCAAGAGGCGAGGCAGGTGGACATCCAGGGCAGCACTGTCTACACAGAGGAAGCAGCAGGAGCTGAGGCCCAGTGGGGAGCCAAAGAACCGGGGACCCTGTGAGACCCCCAGGGAGTAGGGAGCAGTGGGGCAGGGAGTGGGGCTGGCTGACCCCTGGGGGTGACAGGGAAGACTTGGGGACTGACGTGGTGTGAGGGCAAGTTCTCACTTTCATCTTAGCCCTTACTGCTATGGAGAGGGTGGATGGAGGGGGACGAGGTGTTCTGAGATTCTCTGGTAAAATTGGGGCTCCACTCTGAGCGGGCTACCATTCCTATCAAGGGAAATGACCCGGGTGTTTTCTGTACTCCTTTCACTGGCTCTTCTTTTAACTGGCAGCTCCCTAACGTGTAGTTGTTCCAGCCCCCAACCTCGAGCCCCCCACCCCAAGATGAGTTTGCCCTGGCAGAGGCTCCCTGGCTCTTGTCTGTCCCCTGTGTGCTGCCTGGCCATCGCTCTGGTACTAGGAGCCAGACTTAACATTCTCCCGGGTGTCCTGGGGAAACCCCTAGTTCATCAGATAAAAGGCACAAATGCAATGTGTCAACCACTAGGAAATAAGGTCAAGGATTTATTACTCAGATCCTGGATAGGGACAGCCCAGGCCTCTGTCCCATGGTGAGGTAAGGCAGGAATAGAGGGTCTGGGAGAAGGAGCCGGAAGCAACTGACAGTATTCATAGGAAAATGCTTGAATGGTCTACTTAAATAAGGAGTCTCTGGGCAATCGGGGAGCCCGGTCTGCTAGGTGAGAAAGATGCCCGTAAGTTCTCATCTCTGTTCCCACTGTTGGGGTGTGTGACTGTCAGCTTGTGCTGTGTTCCCCTTTACACCAGGGTGAGAGCAGGGGAGTGGGGTGGGAACCCTTTGGAGGGGTTCAGGTTATTGCTGTGTTCATCCACTGAGGAAGCATTTATTGTGTACCCATTGTGTGCCAGGGGCTGGGAGACCCCAGCAACAGGTGCTGCAGTCACTGAAAGCGAGATGCTCCTTGACACCCTCAGGGCTGTGGACCCCTGGGGTCCAGGAAGGGAGCAGAGATGGTTCTTGCTCTGTGGGGTTCTGCAGGTCCCCTCAGCTGCTACAGAGGAGGGGGCCTCCCCTCATGGTCCTGGGGGCTAGGAAGAGGAAGAGCCCAAAGCACACCCAGCCGTCCCCCCTGGTTCCTCAGAGTTATGTGGAGAGCGGCCCAGAGCTCCCTGCTTAACTGCCTCATGGCGCGTTCCTGGAATCCCAGCACTCTGCAGAGCTCAGGCGGGAGGCTCACAAGCTTAGGCCCAGCTTGAGCACTTTAGCAGCTTAGCGAGACCCTGTCTCAAAACTAACAAGGACTGGGATGTAGGTCAGTGTGAAGGCTCAGCATTCAATCCTCAGTATTGAAGGAGAAATAAACAAAAAGAGCTCATGTTTTCATGACCTCTTTCTTCCCCACAGGGAGACCCTTTGTAGCCCCTCCCCGGAATGTGACACTGTTCTCTCAGAACTTCAATGTGTACCTGGCGTGGCTCCCAGGGCTGGGCAACCCCAAGAATGTGACCTATTTTGTGGCCTATCAAAGGTAAGTAGGAGCCTCCGGACTGTGGGTGGGGGCAGGAGAAACAGCTCAGGGAGAGCTGGGTGGTCCCCAGTGGTTCTCTGGGTCCCATTTGTGATGGCATATGGCAGATATGTGGGGAGGGACTTGTGATAAAGGTTGGAAATGGTGGCGATGATGTGGTGTGGAGAACAGTGAGCAAGTGACAGACAGGCCGGGGCGGGTCAGTCTTTGAGGAACGTTGGAGCACGCATTGGGTGAAATAGGAAGCCAGGAGACCAGAGGACAGAGTACATAAGTGCCCAGTTAAGGATCTTGAGTTGTTCCAGCTGATTAGTGAGGATAGCCACAGGGCCAAGGGCTGATACTGTCCCTGCGTAGCGTGACTGACAGAATCATTAGTAAATACACTTTCCCGGGTGGAGCTGGGCAGAGCCCAGGATCCTTCCCAACCTGGAAACCCAGGTTGCCATTGCTCACTCAGAGAGGAGTCTAAACTTGGAAAGCAGGGCTGGGGAGATAACTCTGTGGTCTAAGCACCTGCCTGGCAAGCTCAAGGACCTGCGTTCGATCCCCAGTACCGCATGCTGTGTGGGGCCCGGAACTGGGAATGGTGGTGCACACCTGTAATCCCAGCCCTCAGGGAGGCTGAGGCAGCAGGATGATTACAAGTCTGAGGTGAGCCTGGGCTACGTAGTGAGTTCAGGACCAGTCTGAACTGTGTACAGAGACCATTTCAAAAGAAAAACAATGAAAAACGAATGGTGATACTCTAACAGCATTAGTTATCTCATTTGTTACTTGCAATTATTTTATAAAAATATACATTTGCTCATTTGATATCTAGGGGCTCAAATAAGCAAGGCAGGATAAATGACTGATTTTCTTTTTTTATGTAGTTAGTACAGGGTCTATAGGGTCTACGGGGGTCTCACTACACAGATCGGACTCGTAGTGATTCTCTGTTTTCAGCCTCGAAAGAGCTGGGATTACAGGCACGCACCACCGTGCCTAGTCTCAATCGCTGCCTCTCGTCGCATCCCACAGTGGGGCCAGCACAGTACGCCAGGTGTCGAACCCTAGCTGTTGCGCTCTGCCTAAGCAGGCATTTTAATCTGCTGAGCTATTTGGCTGGCCCACTTTTCATTAATTTTACTAGAGTATGTGTTGATGTTGGTTATCCTGGGTTTATTTCTTTATTTATCTTTTTAGTCAATTCTCCCCCACGTTCACCCTCTCTTTCTTTTGTAGACCTGGGATGTAACCTAGGGCCTGTGCACTCAGCTACATCCCAGCCCTTCTTCAATTTTTTTTTTTTTAATTTTGACACAGAGTCTCACCTAGGCACTCAGTTGTCCAGAGCGATCGTCCTGCCTCAGCCTCCCACAGTGATGGGATTACAGACATGCACCACCATAACTGAGTTAATATTCTCTCTTCGTATATACTTCTAATCTTTTATGAGGGGGATTTTTTCTTTTCTTTTTTATATTTTCTGTTCTCTTGCTTTGATTTTCTTCTTTAGCTCCAAGAAGATAAGTTAAAGGCTCTGTTCTCTTAAGTTCAAGAGCCTTAGACAAAGGAGATATTAGTTGTTTTGTTTTTTGCTTTTTGTGGTACTGGCGATTGAACTCAGAACCTTGTACTTGTCATGCAGGTGCATAAGCTGATGAGCTATCTCCCCAGTCCTTTGATTTTCTTCTTTAAGTACTCATTAATCTGTATGTTGGATTTTTTTTTTCTGTCTTCATTATTTGTTTCTCTCAAGTCCCATTTATGTATTTATTTGTGGTGTTCTCTAAGTGGACTAGATTTCACTCAGTTTTCAAAAGTTGCCTGCTTCTGTTTTGTGGTTATTCAACATCTCATTGTATTCTTTATCTTGATACTTGCCCTTAAAAATCTAGTCCTTCTCTCAATGACACATATAAAGAATGCCTTCCTTAAAAGAGAGAGAGAGAGAGAGAGAGAGAGAGAGAGAGAGAGAGAGAGAATGCCCTCCTTTTCTGTTTAAACCAACAAGATGGAATTAAAGCGTACCTAGAACAAAATTTTAAGTATCCCTTGACAACTGACATGGGTATACATTGGGAGACCACCACCACAGTCAAAATATAAAACCTGGCCCAGCATGCCTGTAACCCCAGCACTTGGAAACTGAGGCGGGAGGGTCACCATGACTTGGAGGCCAGCCTGGGCTACATAGTAAGACCTTGTCTAAAAAAAAAAAAAAAGCTATCAAACATCTCCACGTAAAAGCTCCTGTGTTCCTCTTTGCATCCAAGCCCAGTCCCAGCCCCCCGGGTAGACTCAAGCAGATCTGCTTTCTGACACTGCAGATTAACTCTGCATGTTCCAGAGTCTCCGACAGATCCATCTGTATAGCGTGTACCCCTGTGCTTCTTTCAATTGGCCAATGGTTCTGAAATTTATCTACATTGTTCCCTACCTTAGTAGTTCGCTCCTTTTCATTTCTGAGTAATATTCCAGTGGGCTGTTTGCTTGTTTTGTTTCATTTTATGTATTTGGTACAGGATCTCAATATGCAATTTGGACATGTGGTGATACTCCTGTTTTCAGCCTCGCCCGCACTGGGATTACAGGTGTACACCACCACACCCGGACTCAGTCGCCAGCTCAGCATGCCCAGGGGCAGGGCCGGCACAGCACACCAGACCGGGGATGGAACCCTGGTCCCTATGCTTGCCTAAGGAGGCGCTTAGTCTGCTGAGCTGTCTCGCCAACCCTCCTACTGCTATTTTTTATCTATCATTTTCCCCAACAGTGACCATTTGGGTTGTTCCCAGTACACCACTTTGCTCAGGCTGTCATATACGCCACTCTGTGGATGACCAAAATTCGTGTTCTTATATGCAAAATTCATCTGCCCCATCCCGACAGCCTTGGCAGCATTGATTCATTCCAGCTTTCATTCTAAGTCCAAAGTCTCATCTGAATATTACCTATATCAGGAACAGTGTGGCTTGAGGCATGAATCATCCTGAGACACAGTTCCTCTCTAGCAGTGTACCCACGAAATCAGCTTCTAAAATGAGACTGTGGAACAGGCATCAGGCATACACTCCCACTCCGGAAGGGAAGCACAAGTGTCAGACAGGTGTGAAAGCGGGCCAAGCAAATTCTCTTAGCTCTTTTTTTTT